GTCTACAATAGCGTAAATCCAAAGTATAATTGTAGATGTAGGTGTCTAATCAAGGTTACACTTACGCCTACACCTTCACCTTGAATTCGATTTTAGTGACTCATTTTCCATATATATTATTAGGCAAAGGTGAGATTTAAAAGAAATTTAGCAAAGTTTTTAAAAAAGATTGAAGTCATTCGAACTTATTCATAACGTACTATCAGTTATAGAATGACTTTGAAAGCTATTTGTTTCATATAATCCAACTAGGTTGTGACATACATCTACACTTATGGTTAATTAGTTTGTATAGTACACGAACTCTATGTTCAGAGCTATAGATAGTCATAGCTGTAGGAAAGACATCGAACTATTGAAATTGTTAGGTAGCAGGAAAAAAAAATAGCATTTAGATTTTTTGCTATCTCATGATAAGCAATAGAAATTTATAAATTTTCATAATAAACTTGAAAATAGATTTTATTGAAGATTATTCATTTTAGATCGAATTAAGAATTATGAATGATAATTAATATAGTTTGCAACTTCTACTTATATAATAGAAACTATGTAACATTTGAAATAATTATATCCTACATTATTCTTATAGTCTATATTTCAAACTTAATTTACTGAATTATTTAATCATAAGAAAATATACATTAGTACTGTGGTCAAAATTATGTCAATCGTATAAATTGCCGTGCGGTAAATGCTCGTGCGACATATAATCCAGGCATTAGAAGGAGAGAAGAATATAGATAAAGAAATGAATTCGAGTGAAAATATCAATAATCCATTGAAAAGGTTTTGTTTCAAAAACAAAGAAGACGGATAAGAAGCAATAGACATTAGCAAACAAGAGAAATGAAAAATTTTGATTTTATTGATCAATTCTATATTCTTTCTTGTATATAAAGATCCATAGATCTTCACGTTGATGATTAATTAATAGACTTAAGCAATGTTTTCTTCAATATTGTATTAAAAAAAAAACACAGTTTTTTTTTATCATACAGACTGTTACTAAATAGTATATTATAAAATATTTATTCGATTTGTCTTTTCTTATGTATTATGTTTGATTAGATCGTTTACTCTAATCAATATAATTGTTTATTTATTTTGACCAGTCATTAAATAAACATAGTTCTCAGTCAATTTTGTTTTCATACTCATCTGTCATTAATAAGTCTTATGTCTATAGAATCAAGAATATTGGTATAATGACTTTATTTTTTCTATTCAGTCACAAAAAAGATGATTGATCGATATGTTAACATCAACAAGTTTCATAATACCTGGAGCAGATTTATAATATTTATAAAGTATTATTAAATTATCCTGAATAGACTTTAAAATATTAGAGTATTTGTTTGAAAGATGTTCGTATTTTCAAACAATGATTTCTTTTTTTTGTATATGATTATGTTTATAATATTGGAATGTATGTAATTTAAGAACTACAAGAAAAATATTTTTTTTACTTAATCGAAACTAAATTTAAAGATTTTTTTAATTAAGAATTTAATAAAAATGTTATTATTTAAACAATATAATTTACCATATTTGATGTAGTACTGTTTGTGATAAACCAGTTTGTTGAAGAAGATTTCTAGCTTGTAAACCACTCATAAATCCATTTGTTTTTGTTACATCAACTAATGAATGAAATTGTTGAAGATATTTTGAACGAATTGTTGGTGTTAATGGTGCAGGTGGTATTATGACTGGTTTTAAAGATTGACTAAAAATTATTAAAAAAAAACATCAAGAAACAAAACTCAATAGATTATTTATTTTCTACGTACACAGGAACTAATGATTGACCAGAAGCTAAAAGACAAAAAGAAAAATAGTTGGTTATTATAGAAACAATATGAAGTAGAGCAATAGGTTAATAAAAGCATTATTCAAATCAATATACACAATGCATTTCAAGCTTACCACCCCAACTAGTGACAGGTCCTTGAATATGAAAGATTTTATTTCAATACTTTGTTTTTAGATATCTGAGAAAAAAAATGATTAACACGAAATAACTTACGAACTAATGATAATGGTAATGCAGACATTGGTGGTGGTACACCATTTGCTGTTATTGCAATTGCATCAGAAAGAAGAGTCGGTGGAAGATTTTGCGGTAGTGGTATTTTTTTCTGAACCTTAAATAATTAAGATTAAACATAATGATTAGAAAAAAAAGTTTTCTTTTTTTCTATTTACTTGAGATGATATTAGATGACAAGCAATAGTAAATTCTCGCTTATCTAAACGACCATCAGCTGTTATATCCGAAAGATTCCTAGAGGAAAAAAAAACGACGACATATGATTATTTTGTCCTGGTGGAAAACATAAAAAAATAATTTACCATATTTTATGAAGAACATCTCCAGGTAAACCTGATTTTAGAAAAAAACTTCGTGCTTGATCACCTTGTTAAAAAGAAAATAATAATTTTGTGTAGAAAATTTGATTTAAAATATTTTCTAAATTATACCTGTTATATAACCTTGTATTGGATTACATTGTTGAAAGTACAAATCGTACTTTGTTCGTTCCTCGGCACTGATTCTCCAATCACCTAGATATATATATATATTACTTTTAATATTTACGTTAACTGTATTACTATTTTCATACCTGCCATACGCAAAATTTTTTTGTTATCTCATCATAAAAATAAATTCCAATACGAAGAAAAAAAAAAATGAATATTCTTATGTAAAAACCTATAACCAACGTATATGATCAATCTCTATCGAGTTTGAGATCAAATTTCTTGAGACAAGAACGAAGAAGAAAGAGAAAAGAAAAAGTAAACAACAACTGTTCACCTTGTAGTAAAAAACGCACACATACACACGTTTATGCTGCACTAAGAGATGAAAGAAAAGAATGAGAGAAGATCGGATCAACTAGCCATTGGTATGTAGGAGGAAAGTGTATGAAAAAACAATATGGCTTTATTGACAGATGTCACTCAATAACATTCTTTTCATCAATTAATTTTCGATCAACATGTCATGGTATTAATAATAGCAATGATTCAATCTTACCAACAGTTGCACAAATTTCTTCGATAGTTGCAGATATTTATTGAAAAGAAAGTTTAATCATTTCTGTTGGAATATTATTCATAATTAGTGCCCGTAAATGACGAATAAAATCTTTTGACTACAACTTTTTATTGGATCGACCTCAGTCAATTATTACTTCATACTTGACATCAGGATGCTTGATGTAGCAAATCCACGCAGTTTTAGCTGAAATCTCGGGTCATCGCTTAGGAACCTTTCCTCGTAGGTATTAACGAATAATTCAAGTTACTTCAAATGCCTTTTAGGTAAGCAACATTATGAAAAATCCTTCTGCCTAAGGAAGAACACCAAGCAATCATCAAACTTTACAACAGCTACGTCTAGATAGGTTATGACGATCCTCTCCAGAGAGTCCTTAAAAAATGGGTATTTGGAAAACACGCAAACACTTCCAATCGAAAAGTGATATCTCGCTGAGCTGATTCAAAGAACATCCAACATGGGTGAATATAGAAGTGGTCATCCAATTCACCCTGTTTTTTTTTCGAATCTATAAACATCCATATCTTTTGACAGTAGGAAAGCCCTACTCGAGTGAGGTGTATGCCCAAAATTTCAGCCTTTTACATGCTTGCATAAGAAAATATGGCAGGGACCGACTTTCTCAATTTTAAGCACTATAATTAAATTCGAAATATATAAGCGAAATTAAACTATGAGACTTAAAATTGAAAAAGTCGGTCTCTACTATTTTCATTATGCAAGCATATAAAAAGCTGAAATTTCGGGCATGCACCTAATTCAATTAGGACCTTCTTACTGTCAAAACATATGAGTGTTCATGGATGCTCGTAGATTCGAACCAATAGTGTGCATTAGACGACTACTACTATATTCAACCATTTTGGGTGTTCGTGTGTTTTATAAATACTCTGAAAATTTATACCGTCACATAAATCATCTTTTTCTTTTTGTGTTATATTCATGAATACATTAGCACTGATGTCCAACTTTTAATTATTTACCATAAACATTTTAATAAATAAGTCAATATGCATAACAATAAATAAAGGTTATTAAGTGCATTTTAGCAGAGAAAATAAACAAGCGTGCATATATACAGTCGGTATACATGAATATAAATGAAAATATATTATTCTTTGCATGAAATTATTTCATTTTTGTGAGTTGGATGTCTACTTAGTAGTGTGTTCGTTTTAGTGTTACTGAATTGAAGAATACACTTTACTTGACGTTGAAGTTTATTTACTTTTTATATAATTTTTTTTTTGTGTATTTTATAAAAGCTTATCAACATTCAATACTTGATAAAGGAATTTTATTGAGAATGTTTAAAATAATTCAATGAATTTTTTTAAAGATATTTCTTAAGTTTTTCGACATTGTAAATATATCCTCGTTTTTTTTACATGTTATTTTTGAGATATTGAACACTTATCAGAGAAAAAATGTTTCGTCTTATTTCTTCTTGGCTACTTATGTGTTTTTTTTTGTTTTAGACTATATTAATACAACGAACATCTGTGTAACAGTTAACTTATAGAACAACTTCCATAGTTTTGTATTTAACGCTTCAGGTAAGTTACGAGCCACTAATTCTGGAAATGAATACATTTCAATCTACATAGTACGTGTCAAGAAAATACTTCTCGATGCTTTTCTTTTCATCAGTTAGATTTTTTTCGAGAAAAAAGAAACCTTATTTGTTTTAAACATTTTCCGTGCAGATGTTAAGTTAACTTTGGAAAATATATTTTCTCATCAAATCAGAAATAAATGAGATTCGGCCGTGTCTCAAATCGGGTATTCGATAACATATAGAGTGACTAAGTTAGATGTGTCTTTTATCAATCAGACGTTAGCTGAAGTTCTTTTACTTTTCTTAAAGGGTTTTTGTAGACTCACTAAGCTCGTGCTCATAAACACTTGTTCACCAGAAAGTCAATTACATTATATGGATCAACCAACTTCTCACTCGAGCAAGACGGACATTGAAATTGATTACACATCGCCGACAGTACGCTATTCAGTGAAAAATGACAACACATTGAACGAAGGTCTCGCGTATTTGAATGAGAATGGATATGTTGTTATCAGTGATGTACTGAATCGGGAGGAGATCGATGATAACAAAAACTTGTTATGGAAATTTCTGGAGGATGCTTCTAATGGTCAAATTCGACGTGGTCAGCCGGAAACATGGTCAAATCCATGGTAAAATTATTTACATCGAAAAGCGCTAGTCCTCTGTTGTTTTACTAGGCTCAATTCTTGTGTATATGGCGTCATCAATGGACGTGGTATAGGTCAATCCGATTTTTTATGGAATATTCGATCGAATCGACAAGTGAAAAAAGTTTATGCTCACATATGGAACACTCAACAATTGTTGGTTTCATTTGATGGATGTTGTATTTTTCGGGATTGGCGTAATAATCCAGAATGGAAGACAAGAAGTGGCTGGTACCATGTTGATCAAAATCCAAAAAACAAACCAAATCGATGTTGTATTCAAGGTTTTGTTACGCTTACTGATCAAAATGAGAAAACAGGCGGTCTTATTGTTTTTCCACATTCACATCTACGTTTTCATGAATTGGATGAAGTGACAAAATATTCTAAAGATTTTATCGAGATTCCTAATGAACATTCAATTATAACTCGTGGCAAACTCGTTCATTGTCAAGCTGGTGATCTTGTCCTTTGGGACAGTCGCATGGTTCATTGTAATTCACCGGCTACTGCAATTGAAGAACGGGCAAAAGATGAACCGGTCGATCTACTTCGTATCGTTGCTTATGTTAGCATGAGCCCAACTTCGTTTGTATGTGATCAATCGCTTGAAGAGTTTCGAAAAAAACGAAAACAAATGGTGGAAAATAATTGTACTCTGACACACTGGAGCACAGAACTTGTCATGACAGGTATACTTTTCAATTGAAATTATCTATGCAAATGCATCTGTTCGAAATTATGCTTAGGTAGTGTCAATACTGATTTGCCCAAAGTATCTTTGGACAAGTTCAATGCCTACCAGAAAGCTCTCATCTTTGGTACCGATGAAAGTAACAGTGAACAATTGTCTGTGTGATTATATTATTGGTTTCACAACTAATCATGATTTTTGGTTTCGAATTACTGATTCAACTAGTCTAACTTTGTTCTTTTTTTTACACAAGCAAAAACGATGTGAATTTTATGAAAAACAAAGATATCGATTAACAATTTGCTGTATTCTGACGGTCTTTTATCCAAATAACTATCGTAAAACGAATCGAGTTAGATACTGAGCAAAATTCTATATCTTAAATCAGATAGTGAAGATAACTGTTTTTAATCATTTTCTGGAGAGGTTTTACAAAGTTAACAAACTACCCAACAGAGACTGAAAACGAATCAAACTGAACTCGAGCCCATAGGCGGCGGAGCGGTCTGAGTCTAGGGTAGGCTCAGATTTTCAGCCAAGCCAGCCCTGAGAATGGATTGAAAGGATTTTTTTATTTGTTTAAAACGGTAAGCGCTATAGATTTTTGTGCTAGATTCACATTCAATAGAAGTGTGATAACTATGTAAAACATTATTGTTTCTAA